ACTCTCTGCCCTTGGCTCTCAGCAGGACTGAGTAGATTTTTCTTGCTTTTCAACCACTCAGAATAGTGGAAAGTTGTAGCCTCAGTAGATTCTTTAACGTTCATGGATCATCTAACAACATATCCTATTAAATGCAAATGTGCCACCTTAAGGATTTTTTTAATGGTACAAACATAACCCACAACCATTTGTGGTTTACCCATTCTCCAAAGAGGGTGGAGGGTCAATTCTTTTGGAAACATTAGTTCAAAAAGTCTAGAAGAAAGAGTGAAGTGCCTCGGCGTGTTCCATGTGACATCTTCACATGGCTCCTCTCAGATACACAAAGATCTGCAGAGGGAGTCTGATTTCCTATTAAGCATATTTTCAGAGCCAGACTGACCCTCCAGAAGAGGTCAAAATTCCTAGCATTTATTCCCATGGTAGATATCCAATTCATATTGAAAACACACATTTCAAAAGATTTCTAGTGATTTCATTTGGCTCGAAAGTAAAGGGCTTACATTTAAAAAAAAAAAAAAAGTATATTTGATGGTGGAGTTTTGTACTGATGAGTACTGAATTATGCCAAAAAAGCCAGTCCTTTGCTATTCCTTAAATACTGTAACGCAAGTCAAGTAAAGCATGGATTACAAACCACCTTAAATAACACAAGTGCAATGTGTACACAAAGAACAATATAGCCAGCTTCAGGTAATTTCCATGTAACAGATAACATCTGGGGGAAATGCAGAAAGTAAGTTATGCAAAACTAATTTGCAAGTGACCACATCTGTGGACGTTATTTATTGCATGTTCACTTAACAGTCCATTATTCTGTTTAGAACTCTCTTCTCTTCTTTATTAGAGCTTTTAATGTACTCACCTTGGTTCCAATGGCATGCTCATAATCAAGGGGGAAAAAAAGTATAAGTGGCATTCACGTGGAGCAATGTGGCCATTTTTATTATATCCGTTTGTGTGCAAGCATTCAGAAACAGCAAGAAAAACACATTGATTGCTTTACATCCAAAGTAATACTTAGGGGTATTTGAAAGGCAAGCAAAACCAGTCATTTGGCCAAATGGCTGTGTGCATATATCAGAAAGTCCTACCTTTTAAGCTCAGCCTTAGGCCTGAGGCAACTCACTCTAAGCATTTCCCTTTGGTTCTTGGTCTGAATGTCATGGGTACTAGTCTTCTATGGAAAGGAGGTGGCAGGGGGGTGGCGGGTGGTGGGAAGTGGCTAAATCCAGACCAAATAGGTTGGGCTTTTGGGGGGAGGGTATTGTTTTACTTTTTAATATGCTTACTTTATCATTTTTCTGTTTTTATTTTTTCCAGATTTGAAAGGTAACATATTAGACTTTTGAGGGGGAAAAATGTGAGACAATTGCCCTCCTACAGGAATGTATAAAAATAGTTAGAAAACTGGCTTTATTTAATTTGCTTCAACTATTCCTAGACTTGAGGAAATTATAATGTTCTCTCAGAAAATCTAACTCAATAAAGCTGACCATGTCTCTCTGTTTTAAATAGATTTTATTACAGAGTCAGTGATGTTGTAAAACATGAGGTTTTGTTAAAAAAAAAAAAATACAAAGGCCTAATTGTATTTTTTTAAAGAAAGTATTGCATCAGACGGTTTCATTTAAACATGTATGCTGCCTCTGCATGCTCACCACAATTATTGATTCTAATTTCCCTTGGACTTGTTTGAGGAAGGCGATCACTTTCCATAGAGGAAAAACTCACTGTGATATTTGGGAGTCTTTTGTTTATTTCAAAGCCTGTATTTAAAACTGCACCTTCGTCTACTGCCCAACACAGCTAAATTTAATTCTTCGTGAAAGAGAGAAACAGCTGTGGTTCGGTTCATTAACAGTATGCAGGGCATGCAAAGAAAAGAAATTCTCACCCCCACTCCTGAGCATGAATTGAACCAATTTAATAGTTACATGAACTACACACATTAAAAAAAAATCAAGAGACAGAAAACATCAACTGTCAGCCATAATTTCAGCTTCTGGGAATAAATGCAAGCTTCAATCTACCAAAGGAAGGAAGTACGGAGCCAGAGAGAACCAAGTTTCCATATGTGTATTAGTGCACATAAGTGCAGGAATGTGCACACACACATTCATTCACACACATATATATACACACATATGAAATACATTCATAAACATTGACTCATACACATATACATTCATACACATACACATATATATATGCCCATATACACATACACATTCACATACATACATACACATACATGTAAACACACAGACACACAGTTACACATTTACACATATGCACAACTACATACACATACATATACTCATACACATGTACACATTCTCACATGCATACACAAATACACAGAAAGCAAAGACAAGAAAGGAAGAAAGGAAGGAAGAATAGAAGGAAAGAAGAATAGAAGGAAGAAAGAAAGGAAGGAAGGAAGAAGAAAAGAGGGAGAGGAGAGAAGGAGGGAAAGGGAGATGGCTAAGTGGTTAAGATTCTACAGGACCTGACCCATGTTAGGCACCTCAAAACTCCCTGTAACTACAGCTCTATGGGCATCTGATTCATTCTTCTGGCATCCAAGATACCCCAATACATACATGCACTCATTCATACATACATACATACATATCCTTTCATAGGAAGTTAATCAATAAATCCATGCCACAGAGGTGTGAGGAAGAAAATATAAGACTTGGCCACAAACATCTGTTTGCATTTAGGTGTAGAATCTGCAGAGGACTAGGGCACTGGAGGGCAGATCACAGGCTCTACTTCAACAGAGGTCCTCTGCCAAGAATGTCAGTAGATGAGAACAGGCAGAAAGCCCCAGCTTGTGTGTGCCCAGAGCACAGCAGCAATATGGGTAACAGTGAACAAGACAACATTGTAACTCATTAAAAAGAAAAAACATTTTCCCCGCCCATCAGCACATGCTCGATGCCTGCAGCCAATCCAGTCAGCTCAAATTCTTTCTGCTTTTCAGTGTCTCACTTGTCACCTTCACCCACAAACACACCTTGTACTACATAGGCTCTGTTTCTCACACATCTTAAAGTCCATGCCTCTAAGCTAAAACCCCATTTTCTTCCTCCATCTCTGGTTCCCACAGGCAGTGTCTTCATTTTACCTGTAAGGTTTTCAGGGGACACTGAAGCATGGCTAGCCTCTTTCTTGCCTGGGAAAATGAAGATTAATACAGATTTGGGAGTTTGCAAGCAAGGCATGGTGGAAGGGAGGGGTGGTAGTGGCAAATAACCGTGAGAGGATGGGGTGCCTTTGCCCCTCACTTGGCAAAAAAAAAAAAAAAAAAAAAAAAAAGCAATCGTTTAGGAATGTGATGAGAAGAAAGCCCCACTTTCCTGAGGTCTCCGCAATATTCTGATGAATACTTAATCTACTCAAGACAAACAGTAGGAATGATGTCATCCAGCAGAATAAACATTAAATGCTTAGCAATATCAATAGTTTCCTAAGATGGCCACTTGATGACATATTACAGTTTACTGAAAACAGCAAAAGCTAAGAAGGCACTGCCCCAGACTTTAATGCCAAGGCTGTCACTAAGTAATTATTGGATCTTACACTAATCATTTCACTCCATTGCCATATATCCTTGCTACCATATATCTACAACTAAACAGCAATTTCCTACACACTCACAAAAAATAATAATGTTTCAGTTCAATACATACACACTCATAAAACCAGGGAACAAATATACTTCCAGCACTATCCAAAGCCTATAAAGGAAGAACATTAATATTTAAATGATGAGATGTGACACAGAGAACCTTAAAAATGACTTCCTAAGATGATAACGGGAGTGGGGTAATCCTTTCCATAGCTCTGTCTTTAAATTTGTATACTCAGGTCCAACTATGGGAACACACCAGTGAGTGACCTCATCTCAGAGTTCCACTGACAAGCCCATGAGTTTGCTATGTAAACTGATTTATAGTGAGGTATGTAAAAGATGCAAAAGCCAGAACACTCAAGTAGGCATGTCTTTACAGATCAACTGAGGTAGGAAATTAAGTTATGGTCAAAAACATTTCTTGTTAAACAAGGAATTAGAACAAGAGGACCTAAGTAAATGATTCCGAGTTTAATGCTGTTAATGCTCTGATCTCCTTTTTCACTCTACCTGGTGGTGGGCGCTGCCAACATTGGCATCCATGGCTGTCCTTGTCCTTCCCTGCCATTGTTGACTGCCTTCCTCCACTGCATCTACACCCTCTTGGCAAAGCTGTGTCAACTGCTCACAGTGAAGTCTCGCTCTGATGTCTTACCATGCTCTGGTTTTGTACACACATTATACTTCAAAGATTCTACTGCGTTCACTCTTTGTATGCATGTGCATGAAGTGTGTGGTATGTATATACACATGTGTAACAACTTGCATGTGGAACCCACAGTTTCATCTTTGCATGTTGCCCAATGGAGTTTTCCAGTGGTCCTCAGGGACCCTTCTGCTTCTGCTTTCCTAGTGCACACACCGCCATGCTTGGCTTTTTTAAATGTGGGTACTGGGGATCAAACTCAGGACCTCAGCAAGGCCAACCCCATTACTGGGTTGTTGATAGCCACTTTGCTTATACCACAAGAGCATGGAGATCCTGCTAAGTCACACCAGTCAGCACCAGGTTGTGGCTGGGTGTAGGAATCACAGAACCCTCTGCCAGAAATGGAGAAGACAGGTGCACAAAGAGTTCAAAGCTTGATTCTCTCTCTACAAAGAGCATATAAGCAGGAGTGAGAGGCAGGGCATGATGCAGAGAGCAAAGCAAATGAATGAACCCTCAATCACAGAGTAAAGGTAACAAGAAATCCCTGTGAGAGAGAGATGGCATGTGGACAACACGAGGCAATGGTATCGGAGAGTTGAAGCAGATGGTAGCTATTAAATAAGATACCAGATTTGGAAATGCGCCAGTCCTGTGAGAGAACTGGCTAAGACCATGCCCAATTCAACCAAAGCTTTTCTTTTCCAGCAAACAATAGAAGTCGTCAAGCCTGCAGACCACCCTTTCCCAGCCCCGCTGGAGGAAGGAATCTCTTTGGACATCTTTTCAGCTTTCATAGAGCCGATGCCGGCCCTGGAGACCGAAGGGAAGGTAGGCTTGAGTTTGCCTTTCCTCACCTGCTAAGCATTGTACCTGCACAAGGTGGCAAGAACACGTTCTCCCATTGCCTCTAACTTTTTCCTAGCCAATAAAAATTGTCTTTTCAGAATTGACTCACACACAGGCCAACTGCTGGTGGTCCCCCAAGCTCCACCGTCACAGTTCCCAAAGTCCCTTGTAATCCCCACGATATGCAGTAACATAAAATCAAAGTCTGCTTTCCAGTTCACCACTGCTCCCAGGAGGGCGCCATACAAAGTAGAAGTATGAGATTGCCTATAAATCCCTGAGCATTCATATGTTCGCTTGTATGCTGTTTACTGTCAATGTCTGTTTCTTTCCAATGTTTTAGGTGCTGGATCAAGAGCAAAGCCCTCAGGAGCCCCAGCCAGAGAGTGAAGTGTCAGAGGAGGACCCTTTAGTTGGCTTCACCATCGATGATGTAAAATCAGCACTGGCTCAAGTGACAGATGAGGTTTTGCTAAACATTCAGGTACTGAGAATGGGCAGCTCCCCCCACACACACACAGCTCCCCCCCCCCCACACACACACACCATAACCCTTGGTGAATCAGCCAGTGTCAGCCCCGACATCTGTAAACACCTTGGCAAGAGCAAGGCTTACAGTTTGTACACTTTATCTGATAAGGCTACATAATCCTCAGATGAGTCTCCTGAATTCAGTAAGATCACAAAACAGATTTGCCAGCAGCACCTCGTGTGCTGTCTGTTATCAGCTTACAAAATCTTTCGACACTGAACGCCCCCCCCCCAAAAAAAAAGAAGAAAAGAAAAAAGAAAAAGCACAATATGGTGAAGACAATTGAGCCAAGCCTAGTAACACTGTAAACAGGCCTTATGCAAGGCTTCTGAAGAGGGAATGCTGCTGATCAAAGCCCTCATGTTTAGCTAAGTCACCTTGCCAGTTTCAGGTTTGAAATTCTTCTCAAGCACTTCCCACTTTCACATATCACTAATTACTAAGCCTTTTACACCAAGGGCACCCTAAGAATGGGCAGTAGACTCCGCCTCCGGGCAGCTGCCAGTCATCTTTCACAGGGTTACTTTGTGATACTTCCTCATTCTGTCCAAGAAACAAATAACTGCTACTAACTCCACATAAAGACTTACAGGAATCCACATGATTTTCTAAGCTGAGTGCTTAAATAAAGTGAATTGCGTGTTTTGAGAAATGACCATAAATCACCACACTTACGCATCTGAGGGGAAAATTTATTTGTTTTCTGAACTTGGGACCGTATTTAAAAAGCATACAGTATTAATAACTAATTTGGAAAGAGTAACAGCTTAGGTTGACCTAAGCATATCTTGTTGCCGGCTTAATCATCAAATGTTATTGCAATATTTACACGCACTTTTAATGATCCAGTGCCACCAGAATAAGCCAAAGTCCCCAGCTTAATAAGGGGTGTTTAGTGTTTACCAGAAAGAGTGGAAGAACACGTTTTACACAAAGAGCTATTGTTAACAGCCCTGCGAATGTAATAACTGGTTACTGTGTGGAAGGGCAGAGTGCAGCTGAATTAAGCTGAGTTCAGAACATACCTCCTTTTTAGATTTGATAACATTTCCTCTAAATATAGTTTATGTATAATCATGGCCCAGGGCTCCTTTGCAGTCCCACAGCTCTGAAATTATTGCTGAGGAATTACTAGACAAGCAAGAGAATTGTTCACAGGACCCACAATTGAAAACATCTTTACCAAGGCCATGTTCCATGAAGGGAGCTGCATGCTTTTTTAACTGTTCACTGACGATTTTCTTCTAGAGTTTGCAACATTGGCACCTCTTGTCTTTAACAGAAAGAATATGATTGGTATATGGGCTTGCTATCTTTCCATTAACATGAAGCCATCTGGAAGTCCAATAGCTTGTATACTTAAGTACAATCATGCACAGAGAGAACATGGACCAGAGGAGAGACACCCTCCCCCAACCAACTCTGTGGGTACTGTGAGTGTCTCTGTACTGAGTGGATCTAATCAGCTCAGGCCAAATGACAGAAGGCTGCTTCCTCAACAAAATGGCTTCCTTCAGTGTCTCAAGATAGCAAACCACCGTCTGTATTTTCTCCCTGTAATCCTGCTAACCTCCACACAAGTGAAGAGGGTGCATCCTGTGACAAATGGGACCCAGGCAGATTTCTATTTGTCTAAGGTTTCCAGACTCATCAGGCTCAGCAGGTGCTATGAGCCTGGTCCCACTTGCAATGCTAGCACCATCGAAGGAAGCCCCATCTCTAACACCAGGCCCAGGCTACTTTGACTGTTAATACACCTGTGGCTCCATTCTTCCCTGGTGTCTACCTTCTTCGAAGAAATTCCAAGTTGGGCCATTGCCCTGGCCTTGCTTCAGCTTTTCCTTTGGTGTCAGACAGGCTAAGTTACTTTCCACTTCTAAATGATCCTAGTTCTAAAAACTGCCATAGCTGCGAATCAGCAGACACTGCACACATGTACTTGCCATTTGGTTCTCAGTGTTTGTGATCACTCCATAGTATTTTTTCCCTCTTTATTTAAAAGTCACACTGTTATTGCAGTTTTTGCAAAAAAAAAAAAAAAAAAAAAAAAAAAAGGTCATTAGAGAGTTCATATTTCAGTACATTGTCTAGGAGCTCTTTCTCTACTGTATTTCCAAGCTGATATCAATTTCTCTAATACAGAACCTCCTGGAATAAAGTATAAGCTGCTAATTTTTTATGTTCATCTACTTATTTTTTCCATGATTCACTTTGCAGCTCTAGAGATTTATTAAGAATAAAGTTACCTTGGCCCTCAGATGTCAATTCAAATTATAGAAAATACACCAAACATTTTAAGCCATTTTAAAGATATATTCAAAATGAAATTAGGTCTGCCCTGAGTAGCATAATAAAAATAACACCCAATGGAACAAACTTGAATATATTTAAGGAATAATGTTCTAGGCAAATGGAGATGATAAGGCTGGATGGACTCTTGCATTCAATGTTGGCTGTTGGCCCTGACACAGCAAAAGAATAAAATAGTGTTAGAAAAGGTAAAGAGAATTTGCCATCCTGCCATTTATGATGTCTTAGGTCAACTTAGAATTGTCTGGGTGAGAAAAGTCATCTGAGTTAGTGCTTCGTGAAAGTTACCGATCACAGTGCAGGAGCCTCGGAATATTTCCTAACCAAAACGGAATTAAGCCCAGCCCCAAGTGAAGGTAACATGTCTACTCAGCAGGATCCTGAGGCATAACAAGGATGACAGCAAACCAACGGGCCCAGGGAGTAGATACGAAGTCCTTTTTCTCGTTCAGGGTCTGCTGGTTGTACCTAAACTAAAGCACCAATCACTGAGGTCTGATGGTCTGGAAGTTGCCTTTCCTGCCAATACTGTACTCTTGTTAGGCACATGCTGCCTTCATGAAGCTTCTTTCCAAAGTCCACATGCAGAGCAACAAACTCTATCTCAGGGAAACATAAGGAGAGTTCCCGGATGCTTGTGGAAACACTAGTAAGGAGCCAGAGAGGAAAGAAATGGCAGATGTTAGCCCAGCAAGTCTTTTCTGGAAAATATGAGACGATGGGTGGGCATAGAGGGCATTAGTAAGAAGAGAAGCCAATTATTTCCTCAGACCATTTTATTGTGAAAAAATAAGGATTGGAGAAAACAGATAGTTTGGATAGATGTTTATTCAGGGGGAAAAAAACTTACAACACAGATAGATGACCACCAGCAAGTTCCAGTCCCAAGGATGCCTCTGGATGCTCTCTGTCTCTGACCAGGAAGCAAGAGAGCTCTCGAGGATCCCCGACCCCAGACCTAGTTCTCCCAGGTGATGTCCACAGGTGTCCCCACCCCACAATGGGCATGGTCAGTGCAACAGGTGTGAGCAGGGTGAATATCTCACTATATCATTTCAACAAATAGATGGTGCAATACATCATAAATGCTAATTCATAAGGCATAACAATTTTAGATATTTCAGAATAATATATCAGTGAACTATTCCATTAGTGACGTATATTGGGAAATCAAGCTGTTGGAATTATGAATGCAAAACTGAAGTGCAATGTTAACTAACCCCTACATAAAAATATTTTAATCATATCTGGTCATGAAACTGTAATGTTTTTTTTTATTTTTTCTATTTAAGTTACATAATAAAAGTTTATCAGAAATATAGATACCATGAAGATTTCACATTATGGCATCTACTTAAATATTCCAGTCTTTGACTCATTAACACACAAGAATATGTAAATGTCCATGTAAAGTACTCTCCATACACATGTAGATGTCCTCAGGTCACACAAACAATAACTGTCATTGTCTCCTTATGAAATAATTCCCTCTATTATTTATCCTGATGGAAGGAAGGCATTTCTTGAGCTCCTAGTATTGAGATGTGCAAATGATGTATCTTTCTGGAATTACACAGGTAGTGACGTTAGTGTGCAGAATGTCACTGCCAGGGGCTCACTGCCATCACAGCTGCCATGATTGCTAAAACCTGTCACCAATTGCTTACAAGTTCCTTTTCTTTCTTTCTTTTTTTTTTTTTTTTTTGTACCAAAAATACATTACAAAGTGGCATGCATGCAAGTATTGTAATGTATGATGAATACTCTTAATTATGAGAGCTGTCCTAATTATGAGATTACTTGTGTTATTATTTCACACACTGGAGATTGCTTCCAGGAATCCCACTTGGAATGCATTAGAGGCAAGGCCAAAACGAAGGGTGGAGAGGCCCACAGCACTGCACCAACTGAGCCCAAAACAGTTATTCTGATTCGGCCCTTATTGGCAAATCTGTCTGGAAATGCAGGTCATTTATCCTATCTTCCAACATGAGGCTATGTGGAAAATGGCTGTCCAAACACCCCTTCCTGTCCGTGGTAGACATGCTATACATTGGGAACGTGCAGAGAAATAGATAAAGTGTTATCGCATCACCACAGGCTGGAACACAGCTCTGTCTGCAAAACAGGAAGGTGTGTGAGGGATAATGTCTGTCTTTAGCCACTATAGTATGTCAAAACCACAGAGACAATGTGCAGCCAAAGATAGCTCTGTCATAACCACGTTTTTTTATGATTGTCTCCACAGAAGGAGATAAACGAAAAACTGCAAGTACAGGAACAGGCCTTTAATGCACGAATAGAGAAACTGAAAAAGGCCTGAGGAGTCTGTTTGAGCAGAGTGATGCCGGACTTCAGAGAAACAAACAGAACTGGCCAGAATAATAGTTCTCTGGAGTGTTGCGTCACCTCCATGCCACCGTGGAAGGAAAGCCCAGTTTTATTCCTCCCGACTGATTAGCGGCACCTGGTCCCTACTCTCATGTCCTCACACCCACCTCTGAGTTTGCAGTACCAACTGCAACAGCACTGCTTTGTGTGGAAGACTTTGGAGAGTTACATATGAAAATACAATTGCTGTTAGGATGCCCCTGTGTCATTTTGACTAATAAATACTATTCCTCTCTAGAAGAATGAAAGCAGTCTTTTGAAATAACCCCCCCAAAAAAATAAGTTCTACTATTTTGGACTAGATGTCCTGTCACATTATGTGTAGCACTGTGTGGAGAGGCCATACCTTACTACAAGGGCAAACTTGCTAAATAACAGTCACATTGGCATGTTCTGCAAGGTTGTTGTTGTTTTGTTTATTGTTGTTGTTTTCTTATTTAACTCATTTGGTTTTCTTATTTAAAGGTTTCAGTGTGAAACCAATTTTCTGAAATTATATAATGCAGTTTGAAGCATTTTAATTTATTCTGCACTGTATTTGCTGTTTCTAATCTTGTTACCTTCCCAGGAGAACACATGACCTATATAAAAAGAAGCAATGTATAAATGATTATTAAAGGCCAACCTATACATAGATTGTAAAAATATTAAATACAAATCAAACTCAGAGTTCCTAAAATTAACCATTATACTCTGCACGGGGATGAGGGGTGTGGGGAGGGACTCATGAGAAAAAAAAAATACCTCAAGTCTTTAAATACCCTGATGAAAATACAATTTCAAGATGAAAATAGCTACATTCCAGCAAGTTTTCTCTGGTTGGAAAGATTAATTAATCACTACCTAGGCCCTTTCCTATGTTCCTAGACTTAGGAAGAGGAAAATTCTAGAATGAGGACACAACACTGATGAGGGAAGAGGAATGCCTAAAGCACTTTTGAGGTGTGTGATTCTGGGTGGCCATTGGCTGGATATGGGGGATGGCCTCACTCTCTCTGTTCTTCTGGAACAGAGGTGAAACTGATGGCATTGTTACTTCCTGCAAATCCAGAGGAATTCTTAAGGTAAAGGCATGCTTGCTTCTCATGCAAGAGGCCTGGGGCTGCCCTCTTCCAAGCTCTTCTTACTGCAGGAAATGTGAAAGGCTGTAGGAGACCACCAGAAGGGTTCCTAGTCTGCATTCCCTTAGCTGTCTTTTCTCAAGAGACAGCAATGGCAGCAAGGTTTCCAGGCATCTAAACCCAATCAAGAATAGTGTAAGATAGATAAATAAGTGGATGGATGGATGGATGGATGGATGGATGGATACATGCATGCATCCATACATATACAGATAGATTAGATTAGATAGATAGATAGAGATAGATAGAGATAGATAGATGGATAGATAGATACATAGATACATAGATATAGATAGATACATAGATGCTAGATAGATAGATAGATAGATAGATAGATAGATAGATAGATAGATGATAGGTAATATAGAACATAGATGAGATAGATACAAATAGAGAAAGAGACACAGGGAGAGAGATGACAGACACATACAATTCTTTGTAACCATGATAGATGGTAGGTATTGTAAGCCTTACTTTATCATGTTGGATGAAGCCTCAATCATCCAGCAAGTTACACAATTAAGAATTAGTGGGTCAGGGGCTGGTGAGTTGGATCAGAAGTTAAGAGAAATTGCTTCATTTGCAGAACACCCAGATTTGGTTCTCAGCACTCATATGGTGGTTCATAACTTCCCATAGTTCCATTTCCAGTGGATCTAGTACCCTCTCATGGTGTCTGCAGACACTAATCACACAGGCAGTTCACATATGTAAAAGCAGGCAAAATACATACATAAATAAACATAAAATAAATATTTAAAACAGAAGTAGTGGATCACAGACTTAAAGCCAGTTGTACATAATTTACAGAGGATAAAGAGGAATGCGTAGAAATTTTACAGTAATTTTTCCATTGTTGCATAACTGGCAATCAGTAGAATCAGGTTTTGAACCTGGGGTCGAGTAGTTAAAGCTGATATACCCAACCTTTGTCTTCATCTGTCTCATAGTGATGATGAACTGAAATGAAAACTGATATTTTTTTGTCTATGTATGATATTAGAATGCTTACTTCCATGACCAGAACCTTGAGCATGGAGGAAACTCCTAAGAGGATCACAGAACCAGATGATTAATCCAGCTCTATCTACCCAATCCTCAGCTGTGTATTCAGCTGAGCATGGGCCCAGTGACTGGACAGTGGCTGGTCATCCAGAGACAAAATTTGTCTCCGTCCTGAGTATCAATTACAGTGAACACCATGACCAAATAAGTTTCAGGGAGTTTTTGCAAACTAAGAAAAAGGGTTAAGGTTAGAGTTAGGGTTAGGGTTATCCATACAAGAGTACCATGCATCATCTCCATACCCAAGTAAGGGGAAATAGCATGAGAAAATACCAAGAAGATTCCAGTGGGGAGAGCTAGTATGCCTTGATGACACTGCCCAGTGCTCTCAAAGGTCATCAGTAATGAGGCAGGGGTGAGAAATCGTCGCCTCCGAAAGGAATTTGAAGAGCCATGATGGTCTAATGTACTTTGGTTACTGGATAGAATTATGGACACAGAAGAAATACAAAAGCTGTGAATAAATAATGGATTTGCACAAAAAACCCTTCAATACCGGTTAGTTAATTTACCCAAATGCATCATTCTAAAGTAAGGTTAGTGACAATGCTGATAATTAGTAGTAACTAGGAGGGAGGATGGGGGAGACCATGTGAGTCTGTGACACCTTCCCAATTTGTCTACAAGTCTAAAATGGTTCCACAAAAAATAAGATGTATTAATTAATTTAAAAATGGAATATTGGACAGAATAAAACAAAGTAATTAGGAAGAAAAATGATTCTGGCCACATTTTTGTCATTAACGAAACAACCCTGCCTGCTAAATGGCACAAGAAAAAAAAATCAAATATATTCATCTTGCAAACTAAAGAGTAAATGTTAGTGAAGGATACAGTGATTAGGGAGCCCACCTTTGGGAGTGGGTAGAGGTCTCAGATTCCTGGATCTCCCCACACTCTTCTCAATTCTGTGAAAGAGCTCAAAACTTTCTGGAAATATACTCACTTTACAAATAGAGAGTATATTTAGTTATTTTAGAACTGAAATTTCAGGGCTAGAGAAATGGCGCAGCAGTTAAACGCATCTAATGCTGTTGCAGAGGACCCAGGCTTGGTTTCCAGCACCCATATCAGGCAGCTCATAACCCACTTGTAATTCTACTTTGAGGAAATTTGATGCCCTCTTATGGCCTCTGCAGGCTCCTGCACACTGTGTACACAATCACACACACACACACACACAAATAAGTATTTAAATGGACTGAAATTTCTACAGATGGTGTCATAATACAGCCAATCAGCTGATCTTGAATGACTGCCCTTCCATCAAATGGTTCCAGTCTCGTAGTGACAGCAATGATTCGCTTTCCTTGCATTTTCTGGTGTTATAATTTGTGCTCTTATGTTTCATTAACTTCCTTCAGTTGCCTTTGTAACTATAATTAGACCTTAGGGTTAGGATAAAGTTAGTGTGTCATAGTAAATTTACAGTAGTGAAGATTGATGAAGAGGAAGAGTCCTCATTCTGCTTTGTCAGACTCAGAACTTCTACCTGCTAAGGATGCAGAATTCGATGTAATGAGTCCAGAGATATGGCCCACAGGGATCAGTTTCAAGAAGAAGCATGAGTTTTCAAGGAGGTTAGTCCTTGTGTAAGCTGATCCTGATCCTTGACCATCCACTTAGTAGGATCTGGGATTCACTCAGACACAACTCTAGGCAGGTCTAGGAAAGCATTTCCACGGAGCATTGCCTGAGAGAAAAGACCCTCCCCACAGTGGGTAGCACCCTTCAACAGACAATTCAGATTTAAAGAGGTCCAAGGAAAAATAGTGCACTCATTGTCTATTGTCTACCTGCCTTTTCCCTTGCTGTTGAATGTATTCCTCCCTCCTTTTGTTGTTGCTGCTGGTGGTGGTGATGATGGTGGTGGTGCTGCTGCTGCTTCAATCTGTCAGTGACATCAGTATCCAGTCTCTTGGCTTTTCAGTGTAATAGGAACTCACCAAGAATCTTCCTGAAATTGAGCAAACAGGTTAGAACTGCAAAGGCACCCAGTTTTGCCCACTGAGTGGCTGGATGAGGTTCTCAGGCTGACATTACACAGAACTTTAGACTACCAGATCCTCTCAATTATAAACCATTCAATGGAATCTCTCTCTCTCTCTTTCTCGCTCACACACACACACACACACACACACACACACACACACACACTTACTTTCCATTTTGTTCTTCTAGAGAACCCGGCCCAAAACCTTCCCAAATGTCACATGATGAAGAAACCAAGGTCCAGAAAAGCAAAGCTGCTATGTACATCATTCAGAGTAGAGGGGTCACTCCTTGAGGCAATTATTTTGGGTTATTGTTGCCTCTGTCTAACCTGCCTGAGCTGGTTCAGTACCCATCTCTGTATGTACTTTCACAGTTGTCTCCTACTGATCACTATCAGTGGGGTATAAGAACTGACTAATTCATCAACTAGAGGTTCATGTGTCCTTGTACTAGGTGAAGTAATGGCTGCTTCATTTGTGTAAGTGAAATGTTTATCTGATTATTCTTTACCAATAAAAAATCAGGAGCCAGATACCTGGGTAAGAAACTGAACGATCAGAGAATGTGAGGATAGGCCACCAGTGACCTCCAATCTATTCCATTCCTCCATCCAAAAGGGATGAGATCCTCTCTCACCCCCGCCTTACTACTTCCTGCTTCCTATCTATCCCCAGTCCTCCAAAACCTCTATGATTAATTTCGGTCAGCTAGTGGCTAGCTCTGCACTCTGACTCAAAGCAAACTTCATTGTCAGAATGCGATCAAATTATCACATTTCAGCCCCTTTATCTAAATAAAAAAGGGAAGGTTTTAACTCTGATAAATAGAACTAGATACAGTAAGAATAATTATCAGGTAAGAATTATGTTCACAATGTCCAGTCCATTTGCATTTGGAAAATTCAGAGAAATACTCCATTATCTATCTTACCTTGTATCACCAGCCCTAAACTATCCTTTTATGTCTCTCAATCTTATACACTTTACAACTCTTTTGTGAATTTCTTTTCTAAATTTGGTAACAAGAAAAACTATGACTATAACTATCTAGTCTTAACTCCATCAGAGACCCAAGAAGAATATACTATTTCTAAGTAAACATAAAGGGTGGAGAAAACAACTTCCAAACTAAGAAAAAGATAGAAAGAGCTGGCTGCCTGAACAGTCACCCAAGGTTCATCTGTAACGTTGGGGTGTGCATCTTTGGCCTACAGGCCTA